TTGCACTGGAGAAGAATGTATAACTTGAAGAGCTGGATTAAAGGGCTCTGTAAATGTCAATTATGTTCATTCAGTCCAATGTGTCATTTAAGTCTAATTTTTTTTATTGATTTTCTGTTTGGATGATCTGTTTAGAGCTGTCAGTAGAGTTTTAAGTTCCCCTACTATGATTGTATTTCTCTGTTTCTCCTTTTAGTTCTGTTGTTTACTGATTAGGTGCATATATATTTCTGTACTTACTGATTGGGTACATATATATTGTGTTATGTCTCCGTAATAGAGTGTACCCAGTTATAAAATGTCATTATAAAATGTCCATCTTTGTCCCTTGTTATCTTTGTTATTTTGAAATATATTTTGTCAGATGTAAGTATGGCTACACCTGCTTTTCTGTGCATGTTTTCGGTGTATGTTTATTCAATCATTTTCCACACCTTCACTTTGAGTCTAACTTTGTCTTTGCAGCTTAGATGGGTCTCCTGAAGGCAGCACATGGTTGTGGTTTTTAAAATATATTTTATTGATTATGCAATTACAGTTGTTCCAATTTTCCTTCTTTGTCCTCCGCCACCTGGTACCACCCATTCCCTCCAGCATTCCCCCAACTTAATTCATGTCCACATGTTATGCATATAAGTTCTTTGGCTACTCCATTTCCTATACAGTTCTTAACATCCCTCTGTCTAATTGGTACTTACCAATTTGTACTTCTTAATATCTGTGCCTTTTCCCCCATTCTGTCCTTCATCCACACAAATGATAACCCTTCGAATGATCTCCATATCTATGATTCTGTTTCTGTTCACCTTGTTTGCTTAGTTTTTTTTTTATTCAGTTGTTGATAGTTGTGAATTTATTGCCATTTTAATGCTCATAGGTTTGAACTTCTTCTTTTTTTTAGATAAGTTCCTTTAATATTTCATATGATAGCAACTTGGTGATGATGAACTCTTTTAGTTTCACCTTGTCTGGGAAGCACTTTATCTGCCCTTCCATCCTAATGGTAGCTTTCCTGGATAGAGTAATCTAGGTTGTAAGTCCTTGCTTTTACACACTTTGAATACTTCTTGCCAGTCCCTTTTATGCTGCAAAGTTTCTTTTGAGAATTCAGCTGACAGTCTTACGGGAACTCCTTTGTAGGAAACTACCTGCTTTTCTCTTGCTGCTTTTAAGATTCTCCTTTTACCTTTTAACCTTTGGCATTTTAATTATGATGTGTGGTCCTCTTTGGGTTCATTGTTTGGGACTCTCTGTGCTTCCTGGATTTGCATGTATATTTTTTTCACCAAAGTAAGGAAGTTTTCCTTCATTATTTTTGTAAATAGTTTTTAGTTTCTTGTTCTTTTTCATCTCCTTCTGGCACCCTTATGATTTGGATGTTGGTACGCTTGAAAATGCCCCAGAGGCTCCTTAGCCTATCCTCTGGTTTTGGGGTTTTTTTTTAATTCTTTTTTTTCTTCTTGCTCTTCTAATTAAATGTTTTTTTCTTCTTTATATTCCAAATCATCGATTTGATTCTTGGCTTCATCCCCTCCTCTATTGGTTCCTTGAAAATTTTTCTTTATTTCACTTAGTGTAAACTTCATTTCTGCCTGGATCTTTTTTATGCTGTTTTTATGTTTATGTTTTATGTTGAAGTACCCAGTGAGTTACTTGAGCATCCTAGTATCCAGTGCTTTAAACTCTGCATCTGATAGATTGCTTATCTCCAGTTTGTTTAGTTCTTTTCCTGGAATTTTGTTCTGTTCTTTTATTTGGGCCATATTTCTTTGTCTCCTCATTTTGGCAGCCTTGCTGTTTGTTCCTGTGTATTAGGTAGAGGTGCTTTGACTCTGTCTTAATAGAATAGCCTATTATAGAAAAGTACACTGGTAAGTTGGGTGGGGTGGAGCCCTAGATAATCACGAGGGCGGGGCAATGGGTGTTGCCGCACTGGCTCTGTGTGGGGTGGAGCCCAGAGAGGAGACAATGCTGCTGCCTGGCCTCTGGAGTTTTGTCTGGGAGGAAGTTGTCCCCTGGAACTCACTCTGATGCCAGTCACTTCAATTTCTCCCTGTATGCCACCCCTTCGAGCTGTTGCCCTGGTGTTGAATCCAACCAAGATGGAGTGAGACTGCACAAGTCCTAAATCCACTGCAGGCCCTTTAAGAGGAGACTCCTGAGAATCCCACAGTTTCTTCCACTGCCCCAACTCCCACTGTTTTTTACAAACAGAAGTTATGGGGACTTATCTTTCTGGTGCTGGAGCCCTGGGCTGGATGGTCTGGTGTGGGGTGGGGATCCCTTGCTCCCGAGATAACCCTCCCAGTTTTTATCCACCACACATGAGTGTAGGAATGCCCATTCCATGATTTCATGCCTCTCCACATCTGTCTCCGGACTTGTCCCTGTGCCTCTGTCCCTCCTTTCTGTCTGGATGAATTTGGCTTCTTTAATCCCTTGTCAGACTTCTTTACAGGTTAATTTTCTGATGATTCTGGGTAATATTTGTCTTGTATTCTAGCTGTAATTTTTGCTGTGGTTGTGAGAGGAAGCAAGCTGTGTTTACTTACACTTCTATCTTGATCAAAATTTCCCAGTTGTGTTTTGTTTTTTGATCTAATCTGCTACTCTATGCCTTTTTACTGGTGAATTCAGTCCATTTCTATTTAGGGTAATACTTAATGAATGAGGATATCCTATAGCCCTTTTATCTTTTGTTTTCTGGCAGCTCTGTTCCTCTACTGGTTCTTTTCCTTTATGTTTCTCACTGTTGTTTTTTGGTGGTATTCCATAATTCTTTCCTCTATTTCCTTTTTTTGAAGCTGTGTATCGCAATTTGTGTGTGTGTGTGTGTGTGTGTGTGGTTACCATTAGGTTTATGAAAAAGGAATTTTCACATATGCAGTAATTCTTTTTCTTTTGAATGCATCTAGTCTCCATCTTCCTTTGCAAATTCAGAACTTTACCCCCCCTTTCATGGTTTTGTTGTCATAAATTATTCCTGTTTATGTTGTAAGTTTGGTGGTGATTTCACTAATGATTTTGTGACCCTTTTCTCTTTGTTTTACGTAGAATAATGCCCTTGAGTATTTCCTGTGATGAAGAACTTCTAGTGATAAATTTCCTCTGTTTCTATATGTCTGGAAAAGTCTTTATGTCTCATTTATATTTAAAGGATAACTTGGCTGAATATATTGTTCTTGGCTGGTAATTTCTCTCAGTAGTTTACTTCTGGAAGTTTGAATACTTGGTTCCACTCTTTTCTGGCTTGTAGAATTTCTTCTGAGAAGTTTGATGATAACCTAGTTGGTTTTCCTTTATACATTACTTTCTTATTTTCATTGGCTGACTTGAGAAGTCTTTCTTTGTCATTAATTTTTGACAATTTCAAAACAATATGCCTTGTTGAAGGGCTCTTTGGATTGAGGTAACTAGGTGTTCTGTTTGCTTCTTGGATTTAAGGATCTAGTTCTTTCCATAGGTTTGGGAAGTTCTCATCAACAGTTTGTTTGAATAAACTCTCTATTCCCTTTTCACTCTCTTCTTCTGGTATGTGTATTACTCTTATATTGTTCTTTCTGATTCAGGTAGTTCTCACAGAGTAATTTTTATGCTCATGTCTCTTCTTCCCTCTGCATCATTTCCAGATTTCTATCTTCGATATCATTATTTCCTCTAGTGGGTGCACTCTATTTCCAATGCTTGCTAGTTCATTCTTGACTTTTTCTTTATTGAGTTCTTCATCTTCAGAATTTTTGTTTGGCTTTTTTTAAAGTTTCAGTTTCTTTGATAAAGTACTCATTTTGTTCATTGTTTTGTTTTCTGAGTGCATTAAGTTACCTGTCTGTATTTTCTTGCATCTCACTGAGTATTTTCAGAACTGTAATCTTGAACATTTATCAAGATTGTCATATATGTTACATATTATCATGTGTTTAAATTTGCTTTCTGGAGATTTTTTTTTTCTTGAGCTTCCTCCATTGCTTGATTATTCATGGGATTTGATGAGTTCCTTCTCTGTCTAGGAATCTCTGTATGTATGGCACTTATCAGGCAGATTAATACAAAGAGGTCTTTCTATTATTTTCCAGTAGGTGTTGTTAAATCACAAGTTTTTAGCACTGTGAAATCTCAGTGCTGACCCCAGCAGTGTCTTTGGCTGCCATTAGTGTAGCAGTGATGCATGGGGGTGGGGTTGGCTGGGGGAACCTGGCAGTCTTCTTTGTTTTGCCCTCCTGGTTATGATGACCTCAGACCTTTGTGGGGACTCCGTTGTGCTCAAACCCAGGACCAGTAACAGAATACACCCTTTGCTCAAGGAAAATTGTGATTCTGTAGTACTAGTTCTTGGGTTTGTAGGTAGTGTGCTCTGAAACCCAACACCAAGGGCAAAGAAAGGCAAGCTCTAGTAATCTATGGGGTTGCGGGGCTCTGTGTCTTTGTTTTCCTTCCTGGAATACTGCCTGACAGCCACAGCAGCACACCAGTGCTGTGTCCTTGCCTAGATCTCCGATCTCAGCTACAGCTCATGCTGCTCACTCCTGCAGTAATCTCTGTGTTCCCCCTGGCTGAAGGGAGTGCCAGCCACAACTGGATTGCTCCCCTCTCCAAGCTGAGTCCCACAGTGAACTCCCAGCAACAGGTTGTGTCCATGGTCTGTCTTAGCCCTTCTTTCTATTCTCATCCCCTGTTTGTTCCCACTTGCCCACCTTTAGATGCTTCAGCATGTAGATCTCTCAAGTGTGCCTGTGCATTGATCAGGGAATCTTTGTTGAGTTACAGCTGTTCAAATTGTTGAAAATTCAAGGGGAAAGACCAAAGGGATCACTCACACCACCATTTATCTGATGTCACTCCTTACTTTTGATTTCATAAGTTATTCACTTCACAACTAAGTAGATTAGGTAAAATTTCTCATTTCCTTATATTAATATGGTTTTTCTCCACAATTTATATATATATATATATATATATATATATATATATATATATATATATATATATTCTTTCTTTTGCAGAAGGAGATTGGAAGGTTACTGTTGTCACTGGAGATCTTGAAAATGCAGGCACCTCAGCAACAGTATCCCTTTATGTCTATGGAGAAGCAAGATGTTCAGGTCCAATTATTTTAGGTTCTGGGAAACACCAGCTGTTTAACCCCAACAGTGCAGATATATTCAAGGTAAAGTTGATATACTAAAACCTTTTTGCTAAGATATCTTATGATATACATTACCTAAAATGAAGTATTTTTCTGTTTGTTTTGCACTTGCATTACAATATCTTGATAAACATAAAACTGATTTATCCTAAGGGAGTTGGGAAACAAGAATAATAACAGAAATAGAAGTTTTTAATTCTTCTCCATTTTCATTTGCCTAAAGACAACAAAGTGTATGAACATTAAAATATCTAAAAATTAGTGTGGAAAATTTACTTCTAATCCACTATCAGGTCAAATATTTCCATTTTTGACTCTATTTTTTTGTCCTTATTCATGTCCCTGGAGTATGATGCTATGATGAAAGGTGGTGAGACTCGTGGTTAAGACATGGTCTGAGGAGTCAGGTGGTCAAGATTTGAGTGCTGACTTTAGCACTTACTAGCTTGGTGACTTTGACAATTACTTAATTGCTATAAGCCTCGATAATCCTTACCTCAGAGGGTTATCATGATGATTAATGAACTAATCCATATAAAGTATTTAGTGCAGTGCTTGAAATGCTCAATGGTTTCCTATAGATATCATAGTACATAAGTACTTTTGTAGTTTCTTATTTACAAAAACAGCTACCTAGTCTTCCTAATTATACATTTTATTAATTATTGTATATATGAAATTTACCATTTCATTTGCTATAAGTAAACATTTAAAAGGCTTCTAGTGTCTTACTATTATAAACATTCCTATAATGAACATACTCTTGACCTTAGTTTCTTTTTGTTCTAACCAAAACTATCTTATTTCCTTATAACAAATTCTGAAAAATGAGATTACTTTTTATCCATTCAGCCAAAGTCCTTTTTAAAAGTCTCTAATTTATAGCACACTACCTGGCGGAACATAGTAAACAATTGGTAAATTTTAATTGTTATTAAATCATTAATACACACCCCAAATCATGATATCTATTTCTGTCATACATAGTGTTTAATTGTTTAACATCTCTTTTTAAAAAAATCCTCAGCCAAAGATATGTTTACTGATTTTAGAGAAAAGGAGAAAGGGAGAGAGAGAGAAACATTGATATGAGAGAGAGTCATTGATCAGTTGCCTGCTGCATGTGCCCTGACCAAGGATCAAACCTGCAACCTAGGTTTGTGCCCTTACAGGGAATCAAACCCACAGCCTTTTGGTGCATGGAATGATGCTTCAACCAACTGAACCGCCTGGCCAAGAGAGTGTTTAATATTTGTAAATTAAAATTTCTCAATACCTTTTTGCAAGTCACAGTATGTGACTGTGGATCGGTGGAGGTTATCTATACATATTACATTTTAATTTTAAAATATTTATTAAAATATAATTGACATACCATAACATTCATCCATTAAAATATAATTAGTAGTGTTTAGTATATTTAGAGTTGTACAACATCACCACACTCTGATTTTAGAAATTTTTATAGTTTTTTAAAATTCATTTTTAATTGTATTTTTTCATTTACCATTTAGTTCCCTTATACTCCCCTCCCCACCCCACAATTACCACAATGTTGACCATAATTATCCCAGAAGAATGCCCATAAGCATTAGCAGTAAATTTTCAATCCTCTATTCTCCAACTTTAGAAAATCAGGAATCTCCTTTCTCGCTATATAGATTTGCCTGTTCTTAATAGTATAAATGGAATCATACAACCTGGCGACTCTTGTGTATGGCTCTTTTCCCTTCTACTTAGGATAATATTTTAAGGTTAATCTATTTTGTAGCATGTATAAGTATTTCATTATTTATAGCTAAATAATTAGCCATTGTACAGTTATATCAGATTGTATTTATCTAGTGGTCAGTTAATAGACATTTGGATTGTTTCTACTTTTCAGCTATGAGTATGATTATTATGAATAATGCTGCCATGAACATCCATATACAAGTTTTTGTGTAGATTTATATGTATATTATCATTTCTCTTGGGTAGATACCTAGAAATAGAATTACTGCATCACTTGTTGACTCTATGTTTAACATTTTGAGAAATTATCAACTGTTTTCTATGGTACCTGAACCATTTTTACATTCTCACCAGTAATATATGAGGGTTCCTATTTCTCTATGTTTCATAGAAATTTATTATTTTCTGTCTTTTGATTCTAGCCATCCTAGTAATGGGTATGAAGTAATGTCTCATTGTGATTTGATATTCATTTCCTTAATGACTATTTATGTTGAGCATTTCTTCATGTGCTAGTTGGGTATTTGTATATTTTCATTGGAAAAATGTTCATTCAAATCCTTTGTTCATTTTAATTGGATTATTTAATCTTTTCACTAATGAGTTTGAGTTTTTAAATATATTTTAGATATGAATCTCTTATTACACATATGACATAAATGTTTTCTCCCATTTTGTGTTGTTTTTTAATTTTCATTTTAAATTATATTTTATTGATTATGCTATTACAGTTGTTCCAATTTTTCCCCCTTTGCTCCTTCCACCCAGAATCCCCCCTCCCTCAAGCAATGCCCATACCTTTGTTCACATCCATGAGCCATGTACAAAAATTCTTTGGCTTTTCCCTTTCCTAAACTGTACTTCATATCCACATGACTATTCTGTTATGATGAATTTGTGCTTCTAATTCCTTCACCTTTTTACCCATTCTCCCAAACACCCTTCCCATGTGGCTGCCATCAAGTCATTCTTTTTGTATTAATGATTCTGTTTCTGTTCAGCTTGTTTGCTTAGTTTGTTTTTTAGATTCAATTTTTGATAGAACATATTTATTGCAACTTTATTTGTTCACAGTTTTTATTTTATTTTTCTTAAATAACTTCCTTTTACATTTCATATAATAGTGGTTTGGTGATGATGAACTCCTTTAGCTTTTTCTTGTTTGGGAAGCATTTTATCTGTCCTATAATTCTAAATGAGAGCTATGCTGGACACAGTAATCTCACTCGTAGGTCCTTGCTTTTCATCACTCTGAATATTCCATGCAAGTCCCTTCTAACCTGCAGAGTATTTTTTGAGAAATTCAGCTGAAACCTTACAAGAACTCCCTTGCAGATAACTAACTGCATTTTTCTTGTTGCTTTTAAGATTCTGTCTTTACCTTTAACCTTTATCATTTTAATTATGATCTGACTTGATGCAGTCCTCTTTGTGTCTGTCTTATTTGTGAGTCTGTATTTCCTGAACTTGTATGTCTATTTCCTTTACCAATTATGGAAGTATATTTTTCTTTAATTTTATTTTAATATATTTTCTAAAATACATTTGTCTCTGCCTCTCCGCCACCACTTTCCCTTGCCCCTTCCCTCCTACTCTCCCTCAGCTCTTCCCCTTTGGTTTTGTCCATGAGTCCTTGCTGTATGTTCCTTGACTTTCCCCTTCCTTTCCTTTTCCCCGCCCACCCTCCCTCCTTCCCTCTTGTCTCTGTTGATTTCTTTTCCTTTCAGTGTTGCTGGTCTTATTTTCCTTGCATCTTTGTATTGTTGGTTAGGTTCCGCTTATAGGTGAGATCATATGGTATTTGTCTTTCGCCCCCTGGCTTATTTTGCTAAGCATAATGTTCTCCAGTTCAATCCATGCTGTCGCGAAGTGTAGTAGTTCTTTTTTTCTTTCTGCTGTGAAGTATTCCATTGTGTATATGTACCATTACTTTTTGATCTAGTCATCTACTGATGGGCATTTAGGTAGCTTCCAACACTTGGCTACTGTAAATTGTGCTGCTATGAACATTGGGGTACATAGGTTCTTTTGTATTGGCGTTTTGGTGTTCTTAGGGTATAGACACAGCAGGAGAATCACTGGATCAAAAGACAGTTCCATTTTCACCTTTTGAGGAAATTCCACACTGCTTTCCACTGTGGCTGCACCAGTCTGCATTCCCACCAACAGTGGTCTAGGGTTCCCTTTTCTCCACAGCCTTGCCAGCACCTGTTGTTTGTTGATCTGTTGATGATGGCCATTCTGACTGGTGTGAGGTGGTACCTCATGGTGGTTTTGATCTGCATTTCTCTGATGGTTAGTGATGCTGAGCATTCTTTCAAATGTCTCTGGGCCCTCTGTATCTCCTCCTTGGAAAAGCGTCTTCCCAGATCCATTGCCCATTTTTTGATTGGATCATTTGTCTTCTTGGAGTGGAGTTGAGTGAGTTCTTTATATATCTTGGAGATTAAACCTCTATCTGATGTATCATTAGGGAATATATTTTCCCATAGGGTTGGCTCCCTTTTCATTTTGCTGATGTTTTCTTTTGCTGTGCAGAAACTTATTATTTGAATGGGGTCCCACTTGTTTATTCTTTCCTTTATGTCCCTTGCTTTAGGAGACATATCAGTGAAAAAATTGCAGCGTGGGATATCTGAGAGTTTCCTGCCAAAGTTCTCCTCTAGTACTTTGATGGTGTTGCGACTTACATTTAAGTCTTTTATCCATCTTGAGTTTATTGTTGTGTATTGTGTCAGCTGATGATCCAATTTCAATTTTTTGCATGTAGCTGTCCAGCTCTCCCAACACCATTTGTTGAAGAGGCTATTATTGCTCCATTTTATGCTTCTGCCCCCTTTGTCAAATATTAGGTGCCCATAGAGAACTGGGCTTATTTCTGGGCTTTCTATTCTGTTCCACTGGTCTATGGGTCTGTTCTTGTGCCAGTACCAGATTGTTTTGAGTATAGTGAATTTGTAGTAGAGTTTGATGTCCGGTATTGTGATCCCTCCTACTTTGTTTTTCTTTCTCAAAATTGCTGAGGCTGTTCGGGGTCATTTATGATTCCATATAAGTTTTTGAAATGTCTGTTCTATTTCTGTGAAATATGTCATTGGTATCTTAATAGGGATTGCGTTGAATCTACAAATTGCTTTGGGTAGTATGGACATTTTGATGATATTAATTCTTCCAATCCATGAGCACGGTATATGCTTCCATTTATTTGTGTCTTCCTTAATTTCTTTCATCAATGTTGTATAGTTTTCTGCGTACACGTCTTTTGTCCCTTTGCTTAAATTTATGCC